GTTCAGGGCATTGGGGTGCGAGAGGGAGAGGAAGCATGATATATGATATATGATATATTATATTATATTGAATTATATTATATTATATTATATTATATTATATTATATTATATTATATTATATTACATTACATTATATTATATTATATTATATTATATTATATTGACCTGCCGTGGAGTCTGAGTACGACATGTGACCTGCCATGCAGTGTCAGCTCGCTGACGGTGCCAAGTGGGAGCCAAAAATATTATATTATATTATATTATATTATATTATATTATATTATATTATATTATATTATATATGTATATGTATATATCATATATATATATAATATTATATTAGGGTTTAGGGTTTAGGGGTAGATGGCTTAGAGGTTTAGGGTTTAGAGGCTTTGGATTTAGGGCTTAGGGCTCAGAGGCTTACGGTGTAGGCCTTAGAAGTTTAGGGTGCAGGGCTTAAGGTTTAGGGTTTAGAGGTTTAGGGTCCTGGGGGGGAGAGGTGGCCTGCAGCCCTTATTTGTTATCTGTATCTGAGTATGTGCTGTATACATATATAAATATATATATATATATATATATACATGTGTACACAGATCCGTGCAACATATGTTTAGCGCTCCCTTGCACTTCTTTCTTACTAGGGCATTTTGAGGACGACCCTAAAAGTGCGAGTTTGATAGCCTGCGGGCGACAACTGCATCATCAAGGAGGAGGTTGATTATTTCTGCTTCGGGCATGAAGCGAGAGCCTGCTGGCGGACATATACTTGCCTGCGGCCGTGGGATAGCTTTACATACAACCCCAAATTTGTGTGCGTAATTGATGATCTTCTTGCATGCTTGATGGTTTAACAACCATGAGAGGATGCCCCTCCGGCAATGCTTGGCTCACGGCTAGCACAAGGTGCTGGCTCAGCATTGCTTTAAAGTGGCCCCTCTTTAGCTTCTTTTGCAGGTCACTGATTCCGCTCCCGATCGGTAAGACAAGATTTTTTCGTGCGGCTTGGTCCAGGGTTGTCCCGCTAAGTATTTACCTAAGGGGGCATCCCGGGCTGCACGCCCCATCCGTCCCTTCCCCGCAAGCGGCCCCGCGCTACTCACTAAGGCCTTTTGGTTAGTGGTTCTTCTCCCTGGGTGGGCGTTTGGTACACGATACGTACTGCCCCGGAGCAACTATTCTACACCCTACACGCAACAGCCTCGTCAACTTCTAGCCGCTTGAGCACTACTCGCTCGGATTGGAGGTTAAACCAGGTGGGCAATGGATCTATCTTTGTCCTCCTTTGCCGCCCCTACACACTTACACAACATAGATAGATAAACATATGTGTAGTTTGGGTGCCTGAAGCCATATGTACGGTTACGTCGTATGACTCCATATGTAACGTCGGTTCACACACATACATAAATCAGACGTAGCTGCATACCTTCGTACAGACCTGCATACCTACATACCTGCATACATACGTGCACTTACTACACGGTTTCTACAAGTTCCAACATCAAATAGCATACTTCAGCAGAGCAATGCATAACATGACGTAACTCAGCATGGCACAACATAACATATCACAGCATTACAAAGCATGACCTATCATAGCGTGGATGATCAACGGTGGCTGCGCCGGTTGTCCCTCGAGCGGCGCGTGGCAGAAGCATGAAAACAGTGTTTGGTGCGTATGTACTCATGCTCTTGTATGCCGGTTCGAAGAAGATCACATGACAAGCTGACAATTGCCGCTAACGGGATCAGGAGCAATCAACCATCAAACTTACTCTCGAGTTCCACATAGCGAAAAAAGGCCGTCGTTCACATATACATGTATGTAATTTGTTGGCCATATGTACTTAAGTGTACAAAGAAGTATATACATGTTCACAAATTTGTTGATGTACTTATTAAGCATGAAGATTCATTCATTTACCTGGTAGTTGATTCGCTCATGAAAACCGGTACGCATACCCACATTTACATCTACACGCGTCGCTGGTTTGAGAATTTCAGTTCTATTTGCATCAGCATGTGCATTTGTATATGGAACTTTACCTACATCAACTATGTATTAACCACATGATCACGACTCCAACCCGACCGCTTCACGCAAAGTCTTACTTGCTCATTCAGCCGCAAAGGAGGCAGTCGATTAAGGTTCGCGATCCCAAATAATTGCAACAGCATTTTGTGGTCAGTATATATAAACATATTGACAAAAGTAAGGAACTGCACGAGCAACAAAAAAATGTGGTTGTGATACATCAAGCGTATATCACATGTGTTGATGTTGTTTACCACCGGGGGTTGCGTAGAACAACACGTATGTAGAAGATGCTAGCATACCATAGTATAGTACGTTACATCATACTGTATGCTGCTATATTACGCTATATGAGATTATTCTCTACTCTACTCCGCTCCACTCTACTCTACTACTTTGCTCCACTCACCAAGGCTCAGCAACTCCACAAGCAGCTGTCCCTGCGCGCCTTCCGCCGAGAGATCCAGTCGGAGTTCGAAGACGAAGCTTCGGATTCAGGCTTCGATGCAACGAATTCGCCAGGAGCCCCTCAAAAGAAGGATGATGCAGCGTGTTAGAGATATGCGTAGGTATATGTGCAGAAGTAATTGTGTGTATATGTATATGTACATACACACGCATATACATATACATTCCCATATACAAATATATGTATGAAAATGTTTCTGCACATGTTTCGGCATGCATGTATAGAAGTTTATGTGTGTAGGCGACAGATATGTAAACATGTGTGTATGTATATATATATATATGAGCCCGATACCTTTGGGGTCCATGTAACTGGATTTTCTCATATACGCCCTTAAAACGCCAATTGAATGATATAAGGTAGACAATACGATGTATATATTGAATCCTTTTTGGTGTCAAGGATTTCGCTACAAACAAACAACAACTCTTTGATGTACCATGTAATTATCGACATTATTTGGATGCATTGGTGGCTTCGACAAGTATGTTGCACATCATATTCATGCAAACATACATGCATGCATACATACATGTGTAGATATATATGCAAGGAACCTTTATGTATAATGTGATCTACTCTCCTTTCTAATATATGTAGTAGCGTTGGGATTAGAGTGTCAATAGAATAGAAAGGAAAAGAATAGAATGGAATATCATGGAACAGAATATGATGTAATTCGACATGGGATACAAGCATAGTATGATATGACATACTATAACAGACTACAACAGAACATGATATGACATGTTACATTATATCATAGCACGGCATCAGTAAATGTGACATAGCATACAAAACTGTAATGTTGTATCATGTGAATATATTCGATAACATAATACAAGATGATACGGTCTAAATAAATGCAGGCTATCCTAAGAAATTATAATGTAACATCATGTTACATCATATACTACACGATAATTTCATAAAAAAACAATAAGACACCAATTATTATGATATAACACAACACAATACAATTTAGTATTATATACACATACATATACAACTATATGTAGTTATTTCATAAAATATGATATAACATAGAATATATTTAAAATAGATTGCGTAGTCTAATCTAACCTAATCTTAACTATAGAATTTGCACTGTAACGTCCAATCATATCATAAGATATGAAATAAGATAACATCAGATGCTATAGTATGACATAACATCCGTTAGTAGAGTGGAATGGAATGCAATGAAATGGAACGGAATGCAGTGGAATGGAATGTAAGGGAACGGACTGGAATGGAATGGGAATATGATGAAAGGTAGATAGTTTACTATAATGTGAGGTAGTATAACATGGAATAACTTCTTTCAACACAATACAGTACAATGCGTTCCAATGCAATACAACACAATACAGCATAGTACAGTGCAGTACAAAACGTCCTTCCTTGAAGCCTTTGGGGTCCAAGAAAGGAGGGTGGAGGGGTGATGAATGGGGCAGCAATCAAAAAAAGAGAGTAGCAAAAAGGGAAGACGGGGGGGAGGGGGGCGGGGCAAATGTCGGCCGATCGCAGCAAATCTTGACAGATATTGGCCGGGTTGTATTCCAAACACGGGCCGGTCGCGGCAACTTTTTGACACACTAGGATTCGTATGTCAGTGGTGGTTAGGTGGAATGAGGGGACAGTGGTGATGGTGGTTCTATTGCTAATATAAAACTGTACCATATAACGTAATAAACCCAAATCTAACATAATGTAATGTAATACAGTGTAATATAGTATAGTATAGTCTAGGATAGTAAAATAAGGACAAAGTAAGTTAATATCATATGATGTAATATAAAACATGACATAGTTCTAAACAACATAATATAATACAATATGTACATATATAACTTAATAGCATATATTACAAAGTATGACATGGTGTGACATGACGTGACATTAACATGTCAGAATATAACAAACTGTAGTGCAATAGCATGTGACATGGTATATATACTATACTGCACTATGATACGACTCACTATGCATAAATACATGCAACACATAATATGACAGGTCATGATATACTCTCATATAATGTCAGGCAATGGAATGGAACGGAATGGAATAGAACGGAATAGAATTAAATGTAGTATAGTACAATGTGCTGTTACATGGCATCAAATACTACCCTTCAACACGCTACAACCTGATACGACACACCATGTTGACATACCATACCGTACTATAACATACGATACCATAGAACAACGGATAATATCATAGCACCGAGTTTTCAGAAGCACCTGTTCTGAAAATTTAGTGCTACCGAACCACCCCCCCTTTTCATCATTACAGGAAACAAGGCGGTTCGATAGCACCAAATTTTCAGAGATGGCTCGATAATACTAAATTTTCTGAATGGTCAAAATAACCTGGGCTTCAGTTATTTCGATTATGTTAAAAGTTCTGGCCATCAAGTACCTACTTAGAATAGTAAAAATCATCCGGGTTTTACTTACTTCGATTATCTCAATTATTGGAATTGTATAAGCCCCTGGGTTTATAATCGTAGATAATAAGACCTGGCCATTTTTTTTAAACACTTGGGGCACCTAGATATATGAAATCCCTGGCACTCTCACAGGACTTCCCTTTGTTTGAATGATTAAACTCATTGACAAAATTAACATACTTAACATACTCTGGGTTTTAATAATTTCAATTATTTTAAAAATCCTGGCCATCAAATACATAAAGCAATGAAAATAATTAATATCATCCGGAGTTGAATCATCTCAATTGCTTCAATAATTTTAATTAGGTAAACCCGTGGGTTAGTGATCTTATATAGTAAGACATGGTATTTTTGATATTTCCAAAATTAGGGGCCCCAAATACTTACATTTAATTAAAACAATTTAAATTCCTGGCATCATCCAGGGTTTTCCCCTGCTTAAATAGCTCAATAAATTCAAATACTTCAAACAAATAACAATAATCAAAATAATCTGTGTTGTAATTATTTCAACTATGTTTAAACTTCTTTCTGGCCATCAAATAAATAAGAAAAGTTGAAACCATCCAACTTTAACTGTGGTAATTGTTTCAGTTGTTTTGGTTAATCTAATCCTTTAAATCCCTGGGTTTATGATTGTATATAAACAGACATGACATTTTTATTATTTCATTTATTTGATGGCCAGAAGTTTTAGAATGATTGAAATATTGAAAATCCAGATGATTTGAATTGTTCTATTATTTTAGTTATTTGAATTGTTTCGAATATCTAAATAACGGGAAATCCAAAGATGATGCCAGGGATTTTACTTATTTTAGCTATTGTATTTATTTGGGGGACCCAGTACAGTTAAAACAATTTCAACAAATTTCTTCTTATATAGGATGATAAACCCAGGGCTTTAAATAATTAAGATATGTAGAATCATTGAAAAAATCTAAACAGTTCAATTCCGAACGAAATTTAATTTATATCAATGTTTTAACTGTTTGATGGCCAGATCTTTCAGAATGGTTGAAAGACAAATCCAGGTTACTTTGATTATGTTGATCGTTTCAAGTATTTTAAAATATTCAGGTAGGTGGAAATCCTTAGCTGGTTTCAACTATTTTAATCATTTAAATAAGGGGAAATCCTTAGATGATGCCAAGGAATTTGGTTTTTTTATTTTATTCGTTGGTGACCCCAATTTCAATAAAATTCAAACCATTGAAATAATCATGTCTTGTTATGTAAGATCATAAACCCAGGGGTTTAAATAGTTAAAATAATTCAAATAAGTAAAATATTCAAATCCGAATGATTTTTTCAATCATTTGATGTCCAGAGTTTTATGAATAATTGAAACAATTAGAATCCAATGTATTTTAATTATTTCAATTCCCAGTTTCAAAAATAGTTAACATAATGAAAGTAATCATAATTGATATTATCCGGATTTGAGTTATTGTAATAATTTCAGTGTTTTAAGTATCTAAATCCCTGGGTTTATGGTCTTATGTAATAAAGCATGAGTATTTCACCTGTTCTAATTATTTAAAAAAACTTGGGACCCTTAAATAGTTCAATTAATCAAAACAAACAAAATCTCCGGATTGTAATTACTGTAATTGTTTTATGATTATCTTGTTTGTGTTGATTACCAGCATATTAACAATGTCAACACCTTAAATAGACCTTAAAGGGCCCTCTCTCATTATATATATATGTGTGTTCATATACATGTGTATATGTGTGTGTATATATGTATATATATAAATCCATATGTGTGTGTGTGCGTGTGTTTGCGTGTGTGTGCTTGCATCTTTAGATGTACTGTCATATCAGACATATGTCTATGTATGTCCTAAAAGCGCCATCTTGTCTGTTTTGAGTTTGTTTGAATGCTGGGAGCGGAGCCTTGAGGCATCCGGGATCGCGGAGGTTGCTGTTGTTGCAGCTTTGGGGAACCTGGCAATAGAGTCTAGGGTTTGGGGTTGACCAAGAGTCAATGCGTCTGGCGGTGGCAAGTCTCCATGATGAGAGTTTGCGAGCGTTCGCACATGTCGCGTTCTGGTTGAGGTTGCGAAAAGTTGCGGTGTTGGAGTGTGTCAAAGGCCTTGACGTGCCTTTTACGTGGTAGCACTCTGTGAAGCTGGGATTTTATGAGGTAGCATGTTGCCTGTGAGATGCCGTGGCGCCAGGCAGCAGAAGCGGAAAAGGCAAGAAAGGACGGGTGACGCTTTGTGGTCCCTAAACCCTGAACCCTAAACCCTATGGGTATGTAAATGTAGCAAGCTCGGGACGTTACCTTGCCATGCCAGCTTCGTGCGAGTGTGTCGAAACCCTACAGTCCCTAAACCCTGAACCTTTGCCTACGGCTAAGCCTGACCTGTGTCAGCCCTGAGCTTCTAGACATGAGTGGGCGATGTTTAAAGGCAAGCTTTTATTGATCGATTCCCCAAAAGGAAGCTCACAAGACCTTCAAGAGAGGTTGAATGACTTCAAGTTTCTGTGTATGTCTATGTGGGCTTTCTTTTCTTTTTCATGCTTTTCCTCTGTGTGTTTGTGTTACATTGTTCTACTTCGAAAGAGGCCTTTGATTTAACACGTGGACGTCTCAAGCTCGGGAGCTCAAGCGCAGGTTTCATAGGGTTCCGGTAGGCGATTGCCCAAGTACTGATGCAAAAAGGGTCGTTCCAGCAACGCAGCAACGAGCCCTGACAGCAAAAACGGCCCAACATCTTCAGCAACCCTAAACCCCGAAACCCTAAACCCTAAACCCCAAGCCCTAAACCCCTAATAACAAGGAAAGTCCTAGAACCCTCGAAGCTCAAACTCCAGGATCAAAGCCCAACCCCATCCCACCTCCGGACGGCTTGTGGTCCATCGGCCCGCTCCGGGGCTGAAATCAGCTTTCAGCTGTGTGGGGAAGCGGCCTAAAGTAACAGGGTGTAGTGCAGTAAAAAATCGTTTCCCATATAAGAGAGAGAGAGAGACAGTGAGGTGAGGGAGGAAGGGAGGGAGGGAGTGATGTAAAGTAGCCTATGACAACCTAACATATCACGAGATGACATAGACAATATGCAGGTGCCAATCTTTACAGTAGCTGAAAGGGGCTGCGGGCGCAGAGCATAGCCGCCCCATTCCACAAGGTCAGGGTTGCGTCGGCTGGATTCTGGAGTTCTGTATTCCATCTCAAGAAGAGATTTCAGATGACAATCAAGTGATATAGGGTTCTAGCCCAGATCACCCACGTCAGTGCACCCATCATTAGTTTCATGCAAACATCATCCAGGATAATAAACCATATGCGATGTGTCATCACATATGATGTTGCACCGTTTATGATGTTTGCTTCACGTGGAACTTGTCAAGTCAGAACTCGCCCAGGGTCGATGGCGCACTGCAGTACCAGAAGTTGATCACCCAGCTTCTTGGCATGGGCGGAGTGCATGGTGCAACTTCTTATACATGCCGGCGCAATGCTTGCACACCTTTCACAGTTCAGGGAATTTTTAGGGTGTTGGCTTCTGCTTAAAAGCTTCAGATTTCAATTGATGGCGTGTCGCATGCATCGGGGCTCGTGCTGACATGTTCAGAGTTTAGGGCCTGATAAGATCCATCATGTTTTCATTTGGAGCTGTTGGTAGCATGCATGGTGCAGTGTAGAACAGTAACAGCATGGTTCAGTATAGTACCGTATATCGTTTATTCTAGTATGCTACCGTCTAGTGTAGCATAGTACAGTATATTTTAATGTGGTATAGTGTAGTATAGTATGGTATTGTGAAGTGTACTGTAGTGTTGTTCTCATCTCAGGTTCAGCGGATTCGAGACGGACACCGGGTCCTGCTTGGCCTTCGCCCCCTCACATCGCTGCTTTGTTATTGGCAAAGTGTGGGGCTGGTTTATTGGGTTTAGGGTTCAGGGTTTAGGGTTAAAGGTTGGGGGTGCCGGAAATTTCTGAAGGTACCAGCATTGTAAGAGAGGACCCCTAATTGATGGAAACCCTCCTGTATGTGCTGGCTTGCAAGGCGACATGACAGTGCATCAAGGCTCGTGCCACGAGTGCTATAATCAATCATCTGGGCTAGGGTTGAGAGTTTAAGGCCAAGGCCGCTACAGAGACACACTCTAGGAACATGCTTTCTGCTAGCCGGCGATGTGCGGTTGTTTGGGTGAAGACTTTAGGGTCTAGGGTAGCTTTGCGTCCACGGTTCTTTGGTTGGGAAAGCCCCTGGCTCCCACATTGCTCTTGAGCATCGTGGCAGATTCGAGCAAATAAAGCGAGATACATACATATGCATGCATGCATATATATAAATATATATAGTCATGTATGTGTGTATATATGTATGCATGCATGCATGCATGCATGCATGCATGCATGCATGCATGCATGCATGCATGCATGCAATCTATGTACGTGTGTAGGTATGCATGTATATACAGGTATTTGCAACGTG